GAGGGTGGGGGCGGGGAGGAGGGTTGCACATTTTACAGCTCACTGACCATTTGGCGATCCATTGAGAGGAGGGTTTGGAAAAGTGGCTCCTTTGTGACAGCTCTCGCCAGATTGGGGGGCTGCTCATTTGCATCTCATTAGCCATGCGGGCGGCCGGCGGGATATAAGGCGGTGGCACGGGGCGAGCCCGAGCCCTTGCGCGCCCGCGGAGCCCCGGCCGGCGCCGCACCAGACGCACAGCCTGGCGCGCAGCCTCCGCCGGGACCCGGTCCGGGACCCCGGGTGTTGACCTGGATGGCACTGGCTGGGTCCCTGGGAAAAACTCGGGTCCAGGGCGCTCCCCGGACCGCGGCCGCCGAGTGAGCTGGCCGGGCCGCACCCGCGGGCGCTCCGCCGGCGCCGGATTACCGCCTCGCGCGTGGGATTTCCAGACCCCGGCTCGCTAATCGGACTCGCGGGGAGCCCTGCAGCTCGTCGGGAATTGGGCTGAATATCTGGACGCTTTCTCTCCTCTCTTTTTTTTCTTTCTTTCTTTCTTTCTTCCTTTTTTTTTTTTTTTTTTTTTTCCTGCGAAGAATCTTGAGACAAAACCAGGAAGCGGACGACCCCTACCTACTCGTGGATTGGAAGAAAGGGGAAAACCGAAAGTTGCCGCGCCAGAAGCAATCTCTCCGGGGAGCCTTTTTTTTTTTTTTTTTTTCCCCTCGTGCATCCCTGGAGCCGCAGTCGCCTCCGCAGGGAGGATCTAAGGAAACTCGGCCTCCGAAAGAGCCGGAGACGGACCCTTGAGGAAAGAAGTCCGGATAATCCCAGCCTGAGGCAAAGCGGCGGCTCTTTCCTGCCCGCGCTCCTGGAGACACCTTCCTCCCGGAGCATTCCCTGGCGATTTCAGAAGAGAAGGGGGACGCGAGGAGAGCGAACGCGGCCGGCGGTGCACCATGGGCCGGCGGTGCGCCCTGGCCCTCGCCGTACTCTCGGCCCTGCTGTGCCAGGTAAGTTGCCAGGCGGGGTCCTAAGGGCCGCGCCGTCAGGTAGGCTGTCAGCGGGGCTCTCCGGCTCCCTGTGGCGTCAGGTAGGGGGGGACCCGGGGCGCGGGCCGCGCGGGGGGCAGGGCCCGGGGCAGGACGCGGCCGGGCGGGCTCCCCGCGCCCGGAGCCCCACGCCCTAGCCTCGCCCGCAGGTCTGGAGCTCCGGGGTGTTCGAGCTGAAGCTGCAGGAGTTCGTCAACAAGAAGGGGCTGCTGGGGAACCGCAACTGCTGCCGCGGGGGCGCGGGGCCGCCGCCGTGCGCCTGCAGGACTTTCTTCCGCGTGTGCCTCAAGCACTACCAGGCCAGCGTGTCCCCTGAGCCTCCCTGCACCTACGGCAGCACCGTCACGCCGGTGCTGGGCGTCGACTCCTTCAGCCTCCCGGACGGCGCGGGCGCGGACACCGCCTTCAGCAACCCCATCCGCTTCCCCTTTGGCTTCACCTGGCCGGTGAGCGCCGCCCCTGCGGGCGCGGGGCGGGCGGGGCGGGCGGCAGAGAACTGATTAGTGTGGTTTATACAAATGCTCTAGTAATTGGTTTGGCCCCGAAATATGTGTCTTGATCTGCATATAATGGAAAGCCAGGGTGGGAGGGGGAACCTTAGAATTTATACAGATTCTGTTACTCTGGATTTGTAAGGATGAGGATATTTAAAAACTTTTGGCTGCACTGGGTCTTTGTTGCAGTGCGCAGGCTTCTCTCTAGTTGTGGTATGCAGGCTCCAGCGCGTGAGGGCTCCAGAGGGCGCGGGCTCAGTAGTTGTGGTGCACAGTCTTAGTCGCCCTGTGGCATGTGGGACCTTAGTTCCCCAACCAGGGATCAAACCCACGTCCCCTGCACTGGAAGGCAGATTCTTAACCACTGGACCACCAGGGAAGTCGTGGATAAGGATACTGAAAATGAATGTTGAATGCAAATATTCTACTGAAGTTGCAAATAGTACCAACACAGATGGAACAGTAAGCCATTCGTATACAATGATTTCTTATGCTAGAGAGCCAAAGAGCTTGGGAACAATCGAAAGTTGATGAACGCTCCATCCCATATATCCCGAGTACAGAGAAGAAATACTTCTCAATATATAAATTTCCTATTCAAATCCACTGACATCAAGAAAACAACTTTGAGTTTTGAGAAAGGCTTTTTTATGAAAATGTCCCATTACCTGAGCTACGGAAATCTAGGATCATCTCATCGATTGCGCAACAGTCAACACACACATACAAAACCATATATGTACCTAAATCACAATTGGTTTCATATGATTTGATTGGGAAGCAGAGGCAACCAACTCCTCACTGATCTCTGCTTTAGAATAACCATACCCATGTCACATATCGGAAATATAAACTCTATTCCATTAAACCAAAATTTAAATTCATTATAGAACCTGGAAAGTCTATTTAAAATAGTGAATTTTAAAAAATACTACACAACGTTTAAATCACCAAAAAGAACACTATTAAGATTTTAATATGATATATAAAGAATGGACATTTTCTTTCTGCAGTCAAATACTCTACCACTGAGCAATACTCTGCACTTAACATTCTTTTTTCTGTACAGTTTTTCTTTTTCACAGAATGATAATAATATTATCTATAGCAGAACTCTAAACAGTAAGAGAAAGCATAAGTAAACTAAGTATATCCATTTAGTGATTACATACTTTAAATATGATTATGAAAAATTTATGACTGTTAGAAATGTTTATTTTATAACATTAAATGGAAGTAAAGACAGTTCAAAAATTTATATAGGATAGGCCCTCAATTATCTGTACCCTTTTCCAAACTTGCAAATAAACCCAGAAGTCTTCAGGTATAGTAACAAAGGCAATGATTAAGTAATTTTAGTGAAAAATTTTAAAAGGTTGCAGGATGAGAGGAAAAACAATATTGAAACTCTAAAATATTAGGAAAAAAATTACTAAGTAACCACAAAGCCAATGTACTGTAAATGCAACAAGCATTTTCCTTACCTTTTTATCTTTATAATATGGCCTATTAAATTTCAAAACATGCAGCTGTACTACGACAAGACTAAGAAGATTGATAACATAGATTTGTTATTTATCTAGAAAAAAGTGATCATATATATACAAATCGCTTCTGTATGAGCGCCATCTAGTGGTCAAATTGTATGCAAACTGTGTGCTCAACTTAGTACTCCAGTGTCATCCGAAAAAGATAAAATTCAAAAGTATTTTAATATATTCCAGAGTTGTAAAAACAAAGTTGACTTCAACAAAGCACTCAGTATTCACTCAAAATAGGAAAGATTCTCTTCCTGTAGCGTTTAGTTCAATAGGCATATGTTTGCTTATATCCATTCTTCTGCTACCTCCATTTCTCACAATATTTGAAAAACTACCAATTGCTGCTGGTGATTTCATTTGATAGTATTCTCAGTACTACTGGATGAAATGTGTCCAGGCTAGAAGATACACTTATTTAAAATAATTATCTGTTCTCATACCCTGTTCTGTCTTCAATTTCAAGCCCCTTGTAACTACATTTACTTTGCACATATTAGTTTAAACATAATTTTCCGTCATTGAAGACAAAAGCAAAATATGAACTCTTTTATTCAATGACCATTGCAATATCCCACACTAAGCCATGTCACCCTTGTCACTTCATCTAGATTTAAATCTATTTTGGAAAAGGCTGAGGTTTTGTTTGTTTACTTGTTCAATTTACTGTTCTGACCATTTTTCCTAATTCTTAGATCATTTTCAGTTTTAGGAATCTTGACACTGTTCTTATTAGTACCATACTACTATATTTAGAACTGTTTAAAATTGAAGCTTACTTTTAAAGATTTTCATATACCACAAGAATTGACCCACTGTGTCTGTCCTTTTCTTCCACATTACAGTTTTTCACCATTATATCACCAATTTCTTTCTTGAAACTGTCTAGCACTGGCAAGAAACTTTCCCTTTTAGAGTCTTAAATCATAATTACTTTTTAAAAAAACTTTATTTTTTTTGGCTGTGCCAGGTGGCATACAGGATCTTAGATCCCTGACCAGGGATCAAACCCGTGCCCCCTGCAGTGGAAGCACGGAGTGTTAACCACTGGACGCCAGGGAAGTCCAAATCATCGTTACTTTTATGTTTTATGCTAAGGCCTGAATAAAGTAACTTTCAATCACTATCTTACTTCATTCATTACTTCAGTAATGAGAATCAGCATTAGCACTACAAGACCCTGACAGATTATTTCACAGCATGTTTCATGGTGGCAAACCCTTCATAAGCCCACTCATCAGCTCAGGATCAAGGTCCTTCACACCTTGTCCTCATTTCCTAACAACCATCCTAAACACCAACTACAATATAATGAACTTTTCTGCATTTTTACAGTCTCCTCAGACTATCACCCTCCTACTGTACTTATTTTCTCCAGTAACTGCCTTCTCCTCTGAATTAGCATATTGTATACATCCTTCAACACCTTGTCCAAATATCAACTTTGTTTTTTTACAATACTTCAAGAATTTAACTTCTCTTTATTTTTTCATGTTACATCATACTGTGTTATAACTATCTCTCCATAAAAAATACCAGTCACTGAAGCCTAACAAACTTACTAACATAGATGTTTAATAAATGCTAAATGCATGTTATTTGATAAACAAAATATTCTGTTGATTTTTAAAGCAATCATCTATTAATCTTATTTTTCTATTAGCTTTTATAAGAACTGTGAAGAACAAAGCAGTGCCTAATTTACATTCTACTCAGCAAAATGCTACTATTCAAAGATAATTTTTCAAATTACAAAAATAATAATTCATATACTGAGTTCTATGTATAGTATAACAGTTACTTGCTTCAATCCAAACCACAATACTATAAAAGTGGAAAAGCTCCTTATATTAGCTTTTTTGTCTCTAAAAAAAGACTGCTAATCTTATTTATATTTTAAATAAAATATATTCCATTGCTGAGCTTCCTAAAAGCTTTGCAGTTATTTGAAAAAAAATTTAAAAACATTAAAACTTGCCTTCTTATGTCAAAACAAAGTTATTTTTAAAATATTTCGTTCTCTAACAGAAAGTTAAAGTAATCCTAACCATTCTGCTATTACACTACCCCAATCCTATGCTCACTCCTCAAATTTTAATCTATGCATGAGATAAGAGAAGCAGGAAGAAATACCCCAAATGGGGCAGCTTTAATAATTCTTAAATTACAATTGTATCAGAATATAGTTTGTCAAAAGTCCAGCCTATCAATATTTCTGACCCAGTAATTTGACTTCTGGAAATCCATCCTAAGAAAACAACCAAACATACTTTTTATGCCCCAAAATGATTGATTCACTGCAGCCTTCTTTACAAAACCTAGTAAAAATGGAAATAACAAATAGCGAAGACCAGAAGTGTTCAGCAAGTTAAGGTACCAATATACTATGTAATGTTACGTATCAAGTTTTTAAAAAATTTAACATGGGAAATGTGTAAAACAAGTTTATAATAGGAAAAAACTCACATTTAAAACAGTAAGATGTAAAGTATGATTTAGAAACAGATGAAGGAGAAGTCAGATAATTTCTTCTACTGGAAATGAAAATCCTAATCAGAGAGTCAGCAAGCCAAAGGGGGAATACGATGATGATACCCAACTGCTCTACCTATTTGCATCAGAAACTTATAACTGTTTCAGAGATTGATGTTGTTAATATCGAATAAAAGAAAACAAAATGAAAAGGAGCAAGAGAATGGCATGTAAGGATGGATAGATCCAGCTGCTTTTCAATGAGACCAGCTGAATTACTACCACAGTACACTAAGATGCTTTGAGGCTAGTACTTTCTTGATCTTAACCAAAATTTGTCAAAGATTTGCATACAAATACTCAAACTGCCACTGCACTAAGGCAATAGTATAACACCAGCAACTATAAGATGTATGTCAATTGCAGAAAAGATAAACTGTGAAAAAGATGTGTTTTATAACTGTTAGTAAAAGGATATTTTAATCTCAATAACATACTCCTTTAAATAAGTCTCCATCAAATTTGTCTTTTAAAAGCCCTGGGGGGGAGAAATCCTAAGGGAGACATAATCCTTTAACATGTAATAATTAACTGTATGCAAAGGACAAGAGCATTTTTAAAGCAGATACCGAAAGAATCAGGCAAAATTCACTTAATTCTCTTATGGTAAGGAAATCAAGGGAAAAAGCGTCAAATTAAGGAAGCAAGTGAGAATCTTAAAAAAGTAATAATGCTTTCTCACTCAATAACTAGAAACACTTAAGTCTCACTGCAGAGTGAGGATTAAATAAAGAGATGTCAGAAATTTACTTTAAAATACTTCAAGACAGACAGTAAAGAAATATGTGTATGTGTATAGTGCAGTACTTCTCAACAGTGGCTATCCCCTAGAAACACCTGGAGAACTTGTAAAATTCTCAAAGCCAGACTATACCCCAGACCAATTAAACCACAATCTCGGAGATGGCACTCAGATATAAATTTTAAAACCTTTTTAGGTGGTTCCGATATCCCACCACAACTGAGAACCATTACTATGGACAGTCAGTTGTCCTAATCAGGAATTAACATTCCTAGACTGGTCAGCTAACAGCAGGTGGGCAGGGAGGCGGCCGCCAGCCCTGCTCCGGGGCGCGGCGGGGGCGCGCGGCTGGGCCTGGGCAGGTGGGCGCCGCGGTCCGCGGGGGCCTGGGGCATTGACTCCACGCCCGGGTGATCTGCAGGCGGCGGCGGCGGCGGCGGCGGCTGGGGGGAGTGTGGGAGGTGACAGCCGGGATAGAGTGAGGCAGAGAGGCCGAGGACCCGGGACATTTCCGTATCCGGTCTCTGCGCCTAGCCCCCAAGTTGAACGGGCCCTTCACTTGGGAAAGTTCTAGTTCCCCAGCTCGTGGACCGGCTAGTTGTTCAGTCGCCCTCGCAGCCTGACAGCCCCCAGACCCTCTGCTTGGCGCCTTCCCCAGAAGACTGCAGACAAGCCCCTCCAGCCCCGCCTGCTGCGCGCAATCGTTTTTCCTTTCCTTTCCTTTTCTTTCTTTCTTTCTTTCTTTTTTTTTTTTTTTTTTTTTTTACCGCGATATCCTGTATTAACAGGCTGAAAAAACACGTCGGGAAACCACTCTTTTAAAAGTTCTTCCATTTCCTTAAGGAAAGTGAAATCAGACAAGAGATGTACAGAGACCCGCCCCCCCACGACACACTGCACACAGATCTGCGACGACTTGGTTGTCCTGAAAGCTTTGATTCTTTTTTAAACATTTCTGGTTTATCTTCTGTCTCCTCCCCCTCCCTCCAGGGAACCTTCTCTCTGATCATTGAAGCTCTCCATTCTGATTCTCCTGATGACCTCGCAACAGGTAAAAACAAACCAAAACACTCCCAAACTGTGCAAACTGCGTCTCCAGTTTATTATGTATTTGAGTTCAGATCTCCCCAGAAACAAACGTCTGCATCTTTCATTCTGCAAGTTACTCTGGAAGGTTGAGGAGAAGAGCCTTCAGCCTCCTTGCCCAGCATCCTTTCCACCTCCCTCACTCCCCGAGCCTCTGGGTTCCCAGTCAGAACCAACAGAGCATCCTCTTCCTGCAGAGAACCCGGAAAGGCTCATCAGCCGCCTGGCCACGCAGAGGCACCTGACTGTGGGTGAGGAGTGGTCCCAGGACCTGCACAGCAGCGGTCGCACAGACCTCAAGTACTCCTACCGATTCGTGTGCGACGAGCACTACTACGGGGAAGGCTGCTCTGTCTTCTGCCGCCCCCGCGATGACGCCTTCGGCCACTTCACCTGCGGGGAGCGAGGGGAAAAAGTCTGCAACCCTGGCTGGAAAGGCCAGTACTGCACTGAGCGTGAGTCCCTGCGGGAGGCTGCCGCTCCCTCAGATTACCCCTCCCCAGGCCTGCTCCCCCCCCACCCCCCACCCCCGGCGGTGGGGATGTATTCTCTGAGCTGCTGGCATCTTGGGGTTTTAGCCCCGGAGAGATGTTCTGGTGGGCAAACCGGGGCCGGGGAGCCAGAGAGATTTGCTGAGACCTCACAGTTAGCCAGTGGCAGGTTGGGGTCAACTTAGACGTTTTAACTTCCGCTATGGGAAGCTGCCTTTCTTAATCAGGGAGGATTTTGGACACAGGGCCAGGGGTCAGGAAGTAAGCCTGAGGGAAGGGAGGGAGGAAGGAAGGGAGGAACAGAGAGGAGGCTGTGTGCAGGGCATGCTTCTACCAAAGGAGTTCTCTTTGCCCAGACAGCGTCTCACTGAAAAGTCCTTCATGTTCTCTCCGGAGTTGCTGTGCTGGGCCTGTTTACAAACATTCCACTGTTCGCGACACTTTCACTCGCAGGGGCTATGGACGTGGGTGGGTGTGTTTTGAGGCCTGGGCCTGCCAGCCCTGCTTGGGGAGGGTTCTGCTTGTCCTGCTTGCGGGATGCTCACATAGCACCCTGCCTGGGAGGGGGCACGTACCTTTACAAAAGTGACTTAGGCCCTGCCTGCCCGTAGTTCTGTATTCTCCAGGCAGGCAGGATAGCTGCACAGGTGCAGGGGGCATAGGAGGGTTGTGAGGACCGGCTGACTCCTGGGCCTGGTTCAGCTGGACCCCACTTGCCTCACTGCCACCTCGTACTCTAGGTGTCAGGTGGGCTGGGTCCTAGAGCTTCCCCAGAAACCCCAGGGAACCTTGCTTCTGCCCCCGAGCCTGGGAACCTTCTCTGGCAGGACAGAACCTCTCGCCGGGAGGTGCAGTTTCTCAGTTTGGATTTGCGCGTACCTGCAGCGTCATTGTTGCTCAGCCCGCTCAGCTTTCCACAGCTCCTTTGAGCTCGCCTTGGCCTGAGCTGGCTCTGTTGTCTTAAAAACTTGTGGAGCGGCTTGTTAATGAGTTTCATAACCAGGAGAAGGAAGCCAGCTGAAACCTCAGCCTCCAGCCTCCCCACCCCCTCCGGGACCTCTGGCCGGCCTGCCGCCTCCCTCCTGGCTACCCTCCCTCTCCCTCACCGTGGGGTTGCCATAAACTTAAACTTTTTTTCTTCTTATTCAAACACTGGAGTCTGTCCCCGCCCCCAGCTCGCGCGTGCCATCGATTAGATCTCTCCGGGGATAGGCGGCTGGGACGCACGCCTGTTCCCATTGGTGGAAAGGGTGCACGTGTGTGTGTGTGTGTGTGTGTGTGTGTGTGTGTGTGTGTGTGTG